TACAGCCATTTCCCAATCTTCCCTTCCCCAGCCCATGGCAACCACTAGTGTACATTTTGCCCGATTTATGTAGTTGTGGATGTTTCCTGGAATATGCTTCAGGATATTCTGTCCAACTATCTTTTAAATATTTGGTTTTAGGAGTGTGTTTTAATTTTTAAAAAATCATTTTATTGGGGGCTCGTACAACTCTTATCACAATCCATACATACATCCATTGTGTTGAGTGAGTGTGTTTAATTTATGAGTCACTCATATTTCTGTTATTAACTCTTAATTTCATTCCACTGTGGTTGGAGAACATATTATTTCAATCATTTCAAGATCATTATTTTTTATGGCCTAGCATATGGTCTTACTGAGAGAATGTTCCATATTTACTAGAGAAGAATGTATATTCCGCTATTGTTATGTGGAATGATTTATAGATTAGTTTGTGTCTTCTTAATTTGTAGTGTTCCTCAGATGTCTGTCTTTGGTGAACGTCTGCTTATTTCTGTTTATTATTGAAAGGTAATGAAGCTGCCATTTGTTGAATAGTATATATTTGTTTCATGTTCACTGTTTTTATTGTTATTTAATGAGTGATTGCTCTACAGCTTACTATATATATCATCAGAATCAGCTTCATATTTATGGTAATTTCCATGAGATACAGAAGTGGTATTCAATTTCCCCCTTCTTTATGATATTACTATATAGCATTTATAAATAATATAAATCTAGCAGTGGTTATAATTACCTATTTTTATGAAGCATTTGTTATTCTTATGTTATCCATTTTGATTTGTTTCATTTGTTCCTGTGCACTTGGAGTCATTTCCTTATAAATAGTAGCTTTGCTTCTATCTCCGTTGTGCTGGTATTGGCAAATAATGTTACATGGCTATATGCTATAGGCATAGCAACACATTATAGATAGCATTGTTCATGTGGATTTGAATTTCAGAGATTTTCTTGAATAGACGTTTCTCCATTTGTTGTTGAACCATTTCTAGAGACTAAATGGTTATTGTAAGAAAATTAATTTTCTCAAGTGTAGCCAAGGTCCTTGGAATCCCTCATGCTAGAAGTTTGTTTTGAAGGAGGCTTCAAAGTGCCTTTGAGCACTTTGAATATGTCATCCCACTGCCTTGTTGGCCTCCATATTTTCTGATGAGAATATGGTTGTTGATCTTACTGAAGATCTTTTGTATATGACAAATTGCTTCTTACTGCTTTTAGAATTCTGTCTGGTCCTTCAAAAGTTTGACTATGATCTGTCTCATTTTGAGTCTCTTTGCAGTGAGTTACCTTATTTGAGATGTTTGGTGCATAGATTACTTGTTGTTGTACTGGGAGGTTACCACCATTATTTCTTGGAGTGTCTTTTTTGGGCCTCCCTCTGTCTTCTGGGAGACACGTGTTTTGTATCCCATGCTTCTTTGATATTCTGTTAATTTTTCTCTTTATCTTCAGACTTTAGAATCTCTTACCTATTACCAAATCTACCAACTCTTCTGACAACTAAAATCTCTTAAATCATTATAGTGATTTAATTTTCATGTCAATTACTATATTTTTAACTACAGATTTTCTATTTGTTTCTTAAATTTTGTTCTTTATTGTGTTTATACATTGTCATTTTGCCTTCTACATCTTATTTTTGAATGATTTCATTTAAGTATTTGAACATATTGGGGATATTTTAAAAGTTTGTGGCATGATCACATCATTTTTTTAAGTGAATCTTTCCATGAACTTTTTCAAGCTCCCTGTATTTATAATGACTGCTTTGAAACTGATGACATGTGCGCCCTGGCTAAGGTAGGGTGTTTTCACACACACACGCGCGCACGCACGCACCACCACCACCTCCATGTTTGTTTGTTTTTTAAATTCTGTTCTTTGCATAGCTTTTAATTATTAGTGTGTGTGAAAAGCCAGACATTTTAGATACAATGTGGCAACTCTATCTGGATACTGGTGCCTCTATGCCCCAATCCTCTGGGGTGATGGTGGCTTTGAGTTAACTCCAAGGCTGGTGGTTCAAAGCCACCAGCTTGCTCCTTGAGAGATTTATAGCCTCAGAAATCCTTTTATGTAAGGTTACTAGAAGTTGGAAGCAGTGAGTTTGGTTTTTGTTTTGTTTAGTGACAGATATTTAAAATCAGTTGCTGTCAGGGTGAGTTCAACTCTTGACTGCTCCATTTGTTTCAGAGTAGAACTGTGCTCCGCAGGTAGGGTTTGGCATGGGTATACCTTTGGGAAGCAGGCATCAAGACTTTTTTCTAAGGTGCCTCTGAAATCAAAACCAAACTCAACTTGTATAGAGTTGATTCCAATTCATTACAACCTATAGAACAAGAGTAGAGTTGCCCCATGGCCCCTCAAGATTGTAGTTTTTTTTGTTTTTTTGTTTTTCCTATCAAGATTGTAATTCTTACAGGGATCTACATGTGACCTCCTCCCTGGGGGACGGACTACAGAAAAGTGGGTGAAGGGAAACGTCGGACAGGGCAAGATATGACAAAATAATAATTTATAAATGATCAAGGGCTCATGAGGGAGGAGGGAGCGGGGAGGGAGGGGGAAAACTGAGGACCTGATGCCAGGGGCTTAAGTGGAGAGCAAATGTTTTGAGAATGATGAGGGCAATGAATGTACAAATGTGCTTTACACAATTGATGTATGTATGGATTGTGATGTGTTGTATGAGCCCCTAATAAAACGATTAAAAAAATTGTAATTCTTTATGGGAGTAGAAAGCTTCATCTTTTTTTTCTCACAGAGCAGCTGGTGGTTTCAAACTGCAGACATGGATTAGCAGCCCCAACACAGAACCCACTATGCCACCAGGATTCTCACCAACCATTTAGTTAGTACTTGTAATACTTGCACCACTTGGAACCACCGATTTAAGTGCAGTCCCTGTGTATATCCACACCCCTTTCCCCATATGGCATCACCTGTGAAGTTGGGTTCAGAGGGTACAGCCTTGGACATGCACAGTCACTCTCGGATGGATGGTAGTTTCAGCAAGACCTGTCCTTATGTGTCCTTTTGTATTATTTACCTCGATTGATATTAAGAGTAAATGTTTTCCTGAACTAATTGTCACTTTTGAATGCCCTATTGTTTCGGATGATGCCCTGAGACATAAATTGTCCCATGGTCTGACCCAATTAAACTTTGGCTGTTTTCCAGAGGCCATTCTTTGAAGCTTTTTATGACTTGAGGAGGGCTTTTATTAGCATGCTCTCTGGCTATCTTTGCTAAACTTAGTTGGCTTAAGGTTGAGTTTGAATGTTTTTTTAAAAAGGTTGAGTTTGTTGCTCTCTGAGCAAGTTACCAACCTCTTCTATGGATTATCACCCAAATTGTTTTCCTATGTCTATAGATAGAGAATTACTGGGACATTTGTGTCTGTATGCCGATGGTGGTCTCTGGGTTGGAGCATAAACAAAACAACATAGGAATACAATACTAAAATGCTTCAGTTGAGATGATTGCCAATACTAAAGGCAATCAATGCAAAACAAGGGAACATTCAGTACGATGCAATTGAGCTTGGAAAGCCCCACTACCACCACCCCGCCAACACACACACAAATTATGCTAAAGAATATAACAAAAGCTTCACGTTTAACCATTTTTTAAGTGTATCGGGAAAGTCGCAGTCAGTTGTGCAAAATGCAGAGAAGAGGGGCAACAGAATGAAAATTGAGAAGCGGTGATCAAGTCTTTTACCCTCCCCTCCAGCACACATCTGCACAAAACTTTGCCTTGGGAGTTAATCTTCAATCTTATTCATACATCCAGAACTGGAGGAAAAAAGGAAGAAATTGGAGCTAATTTTATATACAGAAAAATGAAGTTGAATTGGTAGCTGATATTTTGAGTGTTCACGAAAAAAATTTTTTAAAAACTTTTAAGCAGATACAAAATGGCTGGAGAAGATGGTAGATTTCCTTCAGGTGTTTACAGTTGTTTCTATAAAATGCAAAACACGTGATACATCGTGAAAATCAGTATCATTTAGCTCTCTATAACAATGAATCAGAACCCTATCTCTGGGTTAAATGAGTTGACTGTTAGGGGTAACATGGAAGTTGTGGTCACCTGATTAATAATCCAATAAGGTTCTTGGGCTGGTAGCAAATTAGACTCAATGTTGAGAGAATTTGAAAAATATTGGTGTCTAGGTCCCATTCCCAAATGTTCTAATTCCATCTGGAGAGGGACTTGGTTATCAGTAGGGTTTAAAGCACCTTAAATGATTTTCATACCCCATTAAAGATGAGAACCATTGGTCTGGTGAATATAGAATTGAGAGTTTGGTCACATTCTTTCTATATGCCTTTGCTAATCAGGATGCAAAAAAGAATTCCCATTATTAGGTAATTGTGGCTCTGGGTATGCCTGTGGCCAAAACTTCACTAAAAAATGAAGAGCTGAGATCATAGCACAAATTCTACTGTATTGGAATTAGGAGTATATAGTTTGAATTCTTTCCAAAGAAAAACTTCCAACGATTTAAAATTTATCGTAAAACCATTGTGAGCATGTTTAAAAACCATTTATAATGTTCTACTACCAGCCAGTGATAAATGTTAGTTGTGCAATCCTGAAGTATTTTTAATGAGATTTTATTATGCCTTAAGCATTTGCATTTTACAGTGAAAACACAGTTAGGTCATTCCATAATTTAATGGAAAACTAAGTACCTTGAATATTGTCTTTGGGGTTAGTTTCAAAAGAAAACTGGAATATCACAATAAGATGCTATGCTTTATATGTTTTCATATACTGCCTGGTTTACATTGAATAGAATATTAATGGGATTTGTTGGGGGGGGTTTTTTGGTGTTTTTTTTTTTTTAACACTCTCCCCTCTTGTTTATATAACCACTTTGTCCTTACTCTATTTGTTGTTAGTGCTATTAAGCAAATTAAAATTTGAATAGTTCTTTAATTTGTGTTTTTAAAATAACTAAAACATCTTTTTTCTTCTACCTACAGGTTATGCAATGGTCTCTGCAAGATGGTTTATTCTTGAATTGGAGCTTTTTAAGACTGACATATGCTGGTACTTCATCTTCTATAAGTGGACTCTTTCTTTTCTGAAGACAACTACATAAGCAGACAAAATTGCAAAGATCTGCCCTGTGTCGAGTATGACAGCCACGACTCGTGGCTCTCCAGTAGGAGGGAATGACAACCAGGGCCAGGCTCCTGATGGACAGTCTCAGCCCCCCCTCCAACAGAATCAGGTAGGATCTTGAAGATACAGTTAACAGTGGTTCTCAACCTTCCTAATGCTGTGACCCTTTAATGTTGTGGTGATTCCCCCAACCATATAATGCTTTTCCTTGCTACTTCATAACTGTAATTTTGCAACTGTTATGATTCAGGAGACCCCTGTGAAAGGGTCGTTTGTCACACCCCCAAGGGGTCTCGATCCACAAGTTGAGAACCATTAAGTTAGTTATATTTGTATGTGTATCCTGGTGTCTTAAATGAAGCATGTACTGAATAATTTGTGAAAAGCAATAGAAAAATAAGTTTTATTTAAGAGGTGTGAACGTAGGTCTTTATATCACACTAACTTTGTGACTAGTTAACAACAGAACTATGCCGTTGGATTATTATGAGGATTAAGTAAAATATGTAGTGTTTGAAAATGAATAACAAATTTTGATGTCAAGGTTTCTGCTGGCCTCAAAATGAAAGAAGTAATACTCTTTTCTAGTCTGGCTGATTTTGTGTAAAGTGCGTTTGACTTCTAAATTAATCATGTGGCCAATTTTATTTATTTATTTATTTAAAAAAATTTTTATTGGGAGCTCATACAGCTCTTACCACAATCCATACATACATTAATTATATGTCAAGCACATTTGTTGCCCTCATCATTCTCAAAACATTTGCTTTCTACTTGAGCTCTCCCTTGGTTTCAGCTCCTCACCCCTCGCCCAATGAACCCTTAATAATTTATAAATTATTATTATTTTGTCATGTCTTACACTTTCCGACATCTCCCTTCACACACTTTTCTGTTGTCCATCCCCCAGGTTATATATAGATCCTTGTAATTGGTTCCCCCTTTCTCTACCCCACCTTCCTTCCACCCTCCCACTATCGCCATTCTCACCACTGGTCCTGAGGGATTTATCTGTCCTGGATTCCCTGTGTTGCCAATTTCTATCTGTACCAGTGCACATCCTCTGGTCTAGCCGGATTTGTAAGGTACAATTAAGATCATGATAGTGGGGGGAGTAAGCATTTAAGAACTAGAGGAAAGTTGTATGTATCATCATTGCTATACTCTACCCTGACTGGCTCGTCTCTTCCCCATGACCCTTCTGTAAGGGGATTATGGACAGTTTCATTAATGGATTTTAGTTGTACATAGATTTTAAAAGGAATTTTCTAAAGAATTGTAGGGGTGTGTGTGTGTGTGTGTGTGTGTGTGTGCGCGCGCGCGCGCGCGCGTGCACTGCAGGTTATTTGTCCATTTCATAAAGATTATCACATTTATTAATATAAGGTTGTTTAGAGTATAATCTTAACTTTTTAGTTCCTGTTCTTGTAAAAGTCTGTTCACATCTGAATAGTACTATTAATAATATCTGATACTGCACGTTTGTGTTCTGCCTGATGGATTTTAACAGCTTCATCAAACAACTTTCAGCTTTGGTTTCTCTCTTCCTACTTTTATATATGCCTTTACCTTATCTCTTGGTCGCTTTCTTCCCTTTGATTTGCTGCCACTGATTTTTCAGCGTTTCTAAGATCCACAGTTTTATAGTAAGAAATATTAAACTGCATGGTAATGTAGATAAACATTAAACCTCAATGTGCAGCTAAATCAATGCTAAGAGGTGAATGTATAGTTGAGATGCAGAAGTATAAGTGAGAAGCATGCTTTTTAACAGTTGATGCAAATTGATGTAGAATTCTATGTATAAATAAGTTTTTATACAGAAGTGTTGGAATTGTAGAGTATATATTTGTCATTTGGGAGTATGTTTCTGTAGTTCAGCTATTGTAGATTAAACAATTTGTTTCATAAGTATGGTAGACAAGAGCTGCTCTTTTTCTGCCACTTTAGATAAGTGTGATATAGTCAAAGGTTTGTGTTGGATACCAAAGATTTCTATTTTTGAACCAGGAGCCAGTAGAGTTCTAGTTTCTTTCATGCTTTACTTTCCATTTTCCACTCAGGTTTCATGGAGTCTTAACCATTTTTGCAATGTTGTGGCTTGTATGGCTTTTAGACGTTAAAGACTACTTTAATCTTGCTCTTATTTTAAGGTATTTTTGATCATTTTTAAACCTCTCTTAGGTTTGTGAAATTCAGTTTGATATTATACATGATTTCTAACAATGTTTTTTTAAAAGGCGACTAGTTATTTAAAGCAACAGAGAACCCAACTTAATTACATTCTTCTCCGTCTGTAGACTCTTCAATCCTCTTCTCCACTTTTCAATGATAGGATTTTAGTTATTTTGTAAGATCTGATATGGCTGAACCAAGAAGCAAGTACAGCATTGATCGCTGCCCGACTTAGGGCTTACGTTTTGGATATGCTTTTGACATAGCCAAATTAAAGGGGAGTTTGTCTAAAATCAGTCACAATTGTTTTCACTTTACATCCACTGTTTTTAAAAAGTATATTCCCACAGAAGAGAACTTTAGACTTTAGTAAGTGTACAATAAAATGTGTGAAAACCAGAACTAGCATAAAGAAAAGAAGGAAAAAAATGCCAAGTATTTTCCAAGAGAACAGCTGACACACATGTCAGCATGTTAAAGGCAGTAAACTTGATTGACCAGGCAAAAAAGGCATCCCTGCCCTTTTGTTTCGGCTACTTAGCTGAGTGCTTGAACATTTGGACCACCTGGCGACTGGGAATACAAGGTTTCAAAAATTAGTTCACCTAGCTGCGAAAGTATTATTATTGGTAACAAACACTGAAAATCTCGAGCTACTCTAGGACAGTAGAAATACTCCTTTGGGTTTCAGAGGCCTTTAAATCGATATTTTCTGGGTCATAACGACTCCTAGGAAGCACTGGACCAATCCAGGGGTCCTGCAAAGCAGATACTTAACATTTTTAATTGTCAAGGAGCTGCTGAGTAGTTTTTTTTTCTGAAAAGAGGGGTGGAGGGCAGTAACCCAAATAAGCTTGGGAACCTATGCTTTTAAGTCTTTATGGGAGGAGATAGTCCCATCTTTTTCCCAAGGAATGACGGGTAAGTTCAAACCATTAACCTTGTGAATAGCAACTCACTGTATAGTCCACTATGCCATCAGGGCTCCATGTTGATAAGTAGAAGAGTAAGAGGAAGGTCTAGTAAATATGAAGGATGAAAGAAATGAAAATCTAGCCACTGGAAAATGATGTGAAATTTAGAAACCACAATCAAGAAATTGTTTGTTTGTTCGTTGTTTGGGTGATAGTTTGAGAGGAGGGAAATTGTAGAATGCAGGGTTGTTTTTTTCTCATTCAAGTGACAAAATGAAGCTACAAAGTTAAAATCAGAAACTTTTAAATCTAAAAATTTTATTTTGATTTTTAATACAAATTTCTGTCGTGACAGGATTCACAGTGGGATGTGTGAAAAGGCAGCAGACTTCATGATTAAGAACATGTACTTTAGAGATTAGACCTGCGTTCACATCCTAGCTATAGAGTTTGACCCGTGTCCCCTTGAGCTTGTTTTCTCATTTATTAAAATTATTCTTAAGCACAGTAGCACTGTCTGAGCCATCATGAGCCTTTCATTATTAAATCTTTTTAAATGACTTACATGATTTTCACTTCTGTATTTAGTATCTGAATTGCTAGTTTTTGTACATATGTGTATGGGAATTTACTTTGGAATATTTAATTTTTTATTAAGACTTCATCACCTGATTCTTCCAATGAGAATTCCCCAGCAACCCCCCCAGATGAACAAGGTCAAGGTGATGCCCCACCGCAGATTGAAGATGAGGAACCTGCATTTCCGCACACTGATCTGGCAAAGTTGGATGACATGATCAACAGGTGAGTTGCTTTGGTTTGGTTTTTTAACTTGCAGTATCAGGAAAGCCTGCCAGGTTTACTCAGCATTACAAATAGTTGTGAATGAGAAAAGGAAAGTAATAAGTGGAAATGTCACAATAGCTTCCCTCCCTATCTTATAAATAGCCAAATAGTTTGTTATCCTTGATTCTTGGTCTAGTCATCTCCGGACTTAAACGGTAAAGAAGATTCCAGATTCATGTCGATCCGAGTGTTGCTTAACTAGAACTGTACATGTGGCTTCCCTTTTGCATTTGTGAAGCTTTTCCCTCCTGCTAATCTTAGTTGCTAAGATTGCTGGATGACTTTTTAATAATTCTGGGATGCCCTTGAGTCAAAAAAGGTCATAAGATTAGGTTCCTGGTAAGCTATTCCTTGTGAACCTTTGGTCAGCCCTGAGGAATTTAACTACCTCAGCTATTTGTTTTTTCTTGATATATTTTTTAAAGGGTAGTTCGAGTATAATTTTTCATATTTGTAGCTCAGCTACACACATCATCTTTTAAATAGCATATTTAAAATACTTTAATTGTTTGGAGGAAGACTTGTGTTTAGGGAAGGAAAAGGTTTTTCAGACGTTAGGGGAAAGCATGTCAAGGAAACCCACATGGCTGGAATCCACCCTGTGCTGACAGGGCCTGTAGGCCATGCAGGGCAGTGCTATGGAGTTGTGATACACACACCCCATTCCTAAAAGAGAGGATGGAAACACTCAGGCACTTGGCCTCAGTAAATTTTTTTAAAAATTTGTTTCTAGAAATAGCCTAACAAATATGTAATGGCAGAAGAAATGGATCCTTTGCATTAAAACAAAATTCTGAGAGTAATATAGAAAGAGTTTTATAAAGTCCTCTATGAAATAACCCCTTATACACACATCCCAACCACATTACTATTAATAAAATTAGGAGCACATACTTTCAGATTTGTATTAATTGCTTTTTAAGGTTATAGACACTTAATAGCATGCAGTTAAATGGTGGTCTGACAGATGCCTATGATAGTTTACAATAGATTATAGTTAAACCGACAGAATTTCTGTAAAGTTGTTCAGTGGTTGCCTTCTCTGTAGCAGACACGTTATTGCAAAAGGTTGTATATTTTTCTATCTTGTCTTGTGGTTGGCAGTTGTTAGTAAGTACTTCTTAAACTGACTAGAGAACTAAGTTGTACATTCACAAGTTTTCAGAAAAAAGAGAACCGTGCTTTTTGTGTAAATAAAAAGGTGTGTGGGTGTGAAATTAGCTACCAATGGAGTGCTTTTTATCAAAAGAGTTTTGAGATTTTGACAGCTCTTTAAGACAGGGATTAAGGAATGAATGGGAGGTGGTTTTCTCTTCTGGGGAGCAGTGGTTGAGTGGTGGTGGCAGCAAGGAGGAAGAGCTAAGAAAGGAATGGAGCTCCTAGATAGCTATAGGTTGTCATTGGGCCCAGAGAAAGCACCGCTTGGGAATATGCTGCGCACTTGTTTGAGAGGCATAGAGCCTTAAGAAACCCATGGTTCACTTAACCTTCAGGAAGAGACGGTAAATGTTTTGCTGAGATGTACTGAGGCAGTAATAATATATTTACAATCAGTTATTTGCCTCGAATGTATATTCTTCTTTGTAAGGAAACTTTGGGCAACTTAAAGGGTCACTGTCACATCTTTCCTCTAAACTCAATCCCCAAAGAGCATTTCTTGTGCACTTAAGCAATTGGTTTCCTATTAATTGATGTTTGATTATTGTAATAGTTTTATATTCTGTATAAATTATTGAAATAGAGTTTTTATCCTCTCATTACATCTTTTGTTAAACAGTTGATTAAAAATTCTTATTTATAGAGAGAGCAGATGGTTTTTAGTACCACAAAACAGGTATTTTGCCAACCTGTTATAATGTTTAATATGTTTAGAGCAAGGTGAGTGATTATCATTGGTAACTTCTTTATAGTGCTGCTTTCAATGTGCGACCAATACGCATCTTTTTATTTTATACTCTTAGGCCTCGATGGGTGGTTCCAGTTTTGCCGAAAGGGGAATTAGAAGTACTTTTAGAAGCTGCTGTTGATCTTAGTAAAAAAGGTAAGTATAAATGTCACACTTTCAATAGTATATGCTACTAGGTATACTTTCTTTATTCTTGAAAATTCATTTTTCTCTGTTACAACCACAGTAAATCTTCATAGATGGAATATCTAGCCAAACTTTCTTGATGTGGCTTATATACATACCTAGAGCAAGGGCTCATATAACCTTTGGACAACCAGTCATTATGAATAAAATTTGTGTGTGTCCATTTTACTGTAGAGTACATTCAATATTGATCAGATTCTCCGGGTAACCCTTTCATGACTGAAGTATTTTCTGTTTTGAATTTTTTGTTATACCTATATGTTTACAATAATGGAAAGCATGCTGAAATCAAGTGGGGCGGGGCATGGTATGATAGTAATGTGGACACTAATAATAAATAGAGTTGTGGTGTAAGGAGCAATTCTTCAGATTTATATATTTAGTTAAGTTATACAGGTTCCTTCTAGGCAGCAGGATATATGGCAACTGGGAATGGTGGCTTTCCCCAAAATTCTGAGAGACTAGAAATGATGTGGGTGATATATATCCCAAGGGTCACTTATGGACTAAACATTTTTCTTAATCATTTTATTGGGAGTTCGTACAACTCTTATCACAATCCATACATCCATCCATTGTGTCAAGCACATTTGTACATTTGTTGCCTTCATCATTCTCAAAACATTTGCTTTCTACTTGAGCCCTTGATATCAGCTCCTCATTTTTCCACTACCTCCCCCTTCCCTCATGGTAATTTATGCATTATTATGATTTTGCCATATCTTATACTGTCCGACGTCTCCCTTCACCCACTTTTCTGTTGTCCATCCTCTCAGGGAAGAGGTTATATGTAGATCCTTGTAATCGGTTCACCCTTTCCACCCCACCCTCCCTCCACCCTTCCGGTATCACCTAGAATCTTGCTTTTTAAGTGCAGTCATAAGACATGAAAGATAAATTTTCAATTGGCAAACACTCTACAGGTAATGGGTTTCAATTTCACATATATTTGACTTTTTAATTTAGCATAAGCCATTTCTAATTTCAAGGTAAATACTGCTAATCTACCAATTGTTTGCACTTGCCTTTTGACTGCTGTATTGATATGATGGTCAATGTTAATCCAAGGGCATGTGTATAATAGAATCTATGAACCGTTTTTTTATATTGATTTTTAAAATAAGTTTTCTTACTTAAATGACCTTCATTTTTAATACATGGAAAATGTCTGATTTTTCTTTTTTTTAAAATTTTTTTTCTGATTTTTCTATAAAAGGAAAATGTAACTTGGAAGATGATTCTTTTTTTTGGTGTGATTAAAAGAAATCAAAATGTTTACTCTGTAGTCCAGAAGTACTAGCTTCATGTTGAAATTAATCTTATCTCTCTTTTTTTTCCCCTATACCATTGGTCTAACTATAGTGGCAGTTAATTCTCTCTCGGCTTATTTTTTTCCTTTTCATTTTAAGGCATTGATTGTAGTAACAATTTATATTTGAAATAGGGTAGCTTTGGCTATATTTTAACTATCAATAGCAGCTATCAAAATAAAAACCAAACCTGCCATAAAGTTGTCTCTGACTCATAGCAACCTATAAGACAGTGTAGAACAGCTCCCTCAGCTTTCCGAGAATGTAAATCTTTACAAGACAAGCCAGTTTTATTGGATCTCCCATGAAGTGGTTGGTGAGTTTGAACTTTCAACCTTGTTAGAAGCCCAACACTTAATCCATTGTGCCACAGGACCCCAACCTATGCACTGTACCTACCTACACACACACACACACACACACAATTTATTTGTTCAGATTAACATCTTCAGTACTCTGCTTATATAGTAGCAATCTCACCCACTTTCCTTAAAGACTATTCTTCACTCCGCATTAATGATGTAAAGTGATCTATTAACTATGAAAATAGCACTAGCAGACTGCACTTGTTTCACATTACTCAAACTTTTATCTATGCATTTATTCACTTTGGCATCTGTTGAAGACTTTTTGTTAGGCATGCTCTACATCTCAACAGTATGATGATAAGTAATAAATCAGTTAGTGGTATTTTATTTTTTTGTATTAACATTCGCTGAATACCTATTTGTAATTTATAGTACTGGGGCGTAAATGCCATCTATTTTCTGGTCAAAATCAAACACAAATTCGTTGATCATTTTCTCATTAAGAGTTAGGTTTCTTTGTGTTTTGACACACGTGGCTCTATTGCCTTTCTAAAATCAGATGACACTGAATAAATGTCATCAGATGACATTGAAGTACTGCTTTTTAATTTTTTCCCCCTAAGAAGTACACACAGTATTATGAAGTACTTATGAGTCCCTAACACATGGTAACCGTTCTGTGTTTAAGATCTAATGTCATATTTTGAAACATTTACAATTAAATGGTTTGATGTAATTTAACAATATTTAAAATATTTAATTTTTATTTATTGAAGAATTTTCTGTTTTCTAATTCTGAATCAAGCTACCTTAGAAGTTAAGAGAATGCTGAGTGTCTCTTTTCCAAGACTACTCTACATTCTTCAGCTGTCAGTGAACAATTGCCATCCTTTGTCATGTAACTGAATGTTGTAAAACAGAGAAATGTTTTGTTTACATTAAATTTTCTTCCTTTTTCTTAGGCCTTGACATTAAAAGTGAAGCCTGTCAGCGTTTTTTTCGAGATGGGCTAACAATATCATTCACTAAAATCCTTACAGATGAGGCAGTGAGTGGCTGGAAGTTTGAAATTCATGTGAGTCTTTTCATTTGACTCTAGAAATTCAGATTTTATGCGGTGATGCCTATGGGTAATGCACACGCACACACAGATGCACGATAAATATTTTGATTATATATTTGGCCCAATACAAAGGCTGTAAAATTGAGAAGCCAATTAACAAGAAATTGTAGTCTCAGTTAAAGGGAAGCATGCTCATTTAGAATTGGCATGAGATTTAGAGTTAGAAAAGATTGGTAAAATCTGTCCCTTGACCCACCCCTTGTCATCTAGGCAAGTCAACATATTTTCATGAATATATCATTCTGTCAATTTTAAGATGCATTATCTTACCCAAGTTGTGAACAAGATCCATACCTAATTCAGCCTTTAAAGAAATTGTAAATCGGTTGGAATGGATATATACTTTTGTTTAGCCTTACTTTGGTGCAAGAAAAGGCTTTAATAAGCCTTTGCAATGATTTTAAGCTGTGCGTGCAGAAAATGAGGATGAATGTGATAATGTATTTGTGGCAAGCTTGGAGTTCAATTGATTAAAAGTAACGGCATATTTGTATAATATTAAGCTGGGCTTCAAAGATTGTGGCACCTGGTTCAAAAATGGCAGCCAACTGCACTGCCTTATGTGTGTGTGGTGTTCCACAGTTCTGCCTAGTGCAGTCTCATGCTGGAGGCTCTTGAAAGGGCTCCCGGCCTTACAATTATATATATATGTATATATATAACCACAACTACGCCACCATGGCCCCTCTCCAAGTGATAGGCTGTAGCAAATACAAATGATCTCTGGACACCAGTCTAGGAAAATAGCACTGCCTGATACCATTGGTTATGATTCCAGTGATTTTTTTCCCCCTCAAAAGTGCATCTTAGATGGATGAACGCAGCTATTATTCCAGGTCTCTCTTCCTCCTTCATAATGTAGAAGTAGGTTGTGAAGCAGGTATGTTGTATTCAGAATGATTCCTCCCAAATAACGTTGGAATAATAAATACTCTGTGTCAACATTTAACTTTGTGGGTATTGGAGACTTTGATTGAGAGTAGTGTCAGATTTTGGTATTGAGGTTTAGATAGCAAATTAATTTTGATCATTGACATTTTTTTAGATTTTTATAATTACTGCTTCTGGTGTACACATTCCAAAGTGAAGAACAACAAGAGAACAACCTCTGGTGCTGATTGCATTTTGTAAGCCATTGAGAATGGTGTTTCAAAGGTGGTATATAAATTGCAAAGCAACTCATTGCTAATTTCTATTGATCACAGGCTTAGGAAAATTGAACATAACTCAAATGATTAGTACAGAAAAATGGAGAGACCATTATGTAGTGAGATTTTGAAATGGCAGTGCTTTCATCTCATAAATCACATCTCTCTTCCCGGTCCCCTTTATAATACAGAGATGTATTATTAACAATACTCATCGTCTGGTGGAGCTATGTGTGGCCAAGTTGTCCCAAGACTGGTTTCCACTACTAGAACTTCTCGCCATGGCCTTAAATCCTCATTGCAAATTCCATATCTATAATGGTACACGTCCGTGTGAATCTGTTTCCTCAAGTGTTCAGTTACCTGAAGATGAATTCTTCGCTCGTTCTCCAGACCCTCGATCACCAAAAGTATGTTGGTTATTTTTTTTTAATTGACGTTAACAATTGTTTTGCTCTGCCACAAAACTTCTAATGGATTTGAATATTCCACTTACATGAAAATTCATTTCCCATATATTCTTAAGGGGATTTTGCATTTTTCACTTTTTGAATTCACTATTTTGTGCTGGAGCTATGTTCTTTCCTGTCTTTTATGATTTTTAACTTTTCCTGGTTTTTTTTTTTCATTTAAAATTTAATTGGGCTTTGAGAATGACAATGAAGAAGCTCTGTGTTTTGTGTATTTTCTGTTGCTAGGGCATATTAAGTACTTGTAATAATCTTAGTATAGTTAGGCCTATGGTTGTCTACCTAGCCTCTAAAAAAACAAAAACAAAAAACCATCATTAGAATTAATATAAAGCATCATAATTTTCATTTGAAATGAGAGTGGAAGATTGTTTCATCGTCCAAGAGCTCAGGCATTAATATTTAAAGGCATGGATCAATATATGATATGCATCTAATATGGCATAAAAGTAATATTATAGAAATTAGAAATACAAATAAATAGTCCCTTGGTTATAAATGTGTGACATAAGTACAGCCTGTGGTGGTTCCAAACTGTTTCAAAGATTGTAATACATTAAAAGCTCAAGGTATGTACAATGAATGGTGAATAATACAGGCTGTACTTTGCACATCGAAACATTGCTACAATATATTACTGAGCTTTTACTGTATCAAAGTGCTTCTTTTGTGCATAGAAAGATATATATGAATACAATATACTAGAATACAAACATTTGGCTGATTTTAGATACAAACCATACCTAATTTTGACCTATTTACAAATGAAACATACCTACTGACTTAGTAACAGATATAATTCAGGTACTGCATGTTAAACACAGACTAGAAAATCTTTTAAAACTTACAGAATATATGAGGGTATTTGAAAAAGTTTATGGAAAATAATAGGTTCTATACATAAATGTGAGGACATTAGTAAGTGGTAGAATTCTTACCTCCTGCAACTTGTGTCCATTGGATTGCATATTGCTGTGAACGAGGCTTTCAGCAGAACTTCCAGACTGAGATAGATATGGAAGGGAAAGGCCCGATAGTTGTTTCAGGAAATTGGCCAATGAAGGGAAACCCTGTAGATGAAGGAAGAGATCCATTCTACAATCAGTCATCGTGTCTAATAACATGAATGTTGTTGGATGAGCAGCATTTTATTCTGTTGCATGTGGTGTTTCCATGAGTCAGGCAAACTCAATAGTAGCCAACAAAAGTAACAAGTCGTCTGGTGTAAATGTTTCATATCAGTATAAACAAATTTATGCTTTTAAAGGTGTAGGATTAAGTTAGATTACTTTGAGAAAATAACTGTAGCATTTCAATTTTAGAATTTAGGGTAGACATAAAAGTGTTGTTTAAAAATAAAAATGGTTCTCAAGTTTAACTGTAAAAAGAAAAAAAGCCAAGCAGGAAAAACCAAAGTTGTACAATACTTTGGTTTATCTTGTTACAAGATGAAGTTGTTGAAATGTGTTGAATTTAGACGGGAAAATTTCGGATACTTCCCCAGCTCATGTTACTTGCTTAGAGTTAGATGGCTAAGTCTTGTGTGAGTAAACCAAAGTAAGATCTAAATGGAATCTTCGATGTTTCTGTATTGTATTTCTTTTTTTATTGTTTCATTTTCCCCCTGTATGGATCAATAATAAGGCATCTTACAGAGAATGGGAAGGTAGATAAATACAAAATTTGGGGGTTGAGGATGTTTTTTCTTTTGGTTGAGGATATTTTTTCTTTTTCTTTGAAGCCTAATTCTTCTTGCTGTTGAACTTAAGAAATAATGACAACTTTCGAAACCTTTGTCCATAGAAAAAATTATGGTTGTAAGTCAAGCAGAAGCTTATTTAATGACTCATTTCCTATAGAAATCAGAGAAAATGTATCCTTTATTAAATTTCTAGTCTGTCTTTCTGTACAATTTCTCAAAATTGGTTAAAAGATGTATTTGGCAGGATTTTAAACCATACTCCTATTTGTGTTCAGACCCCTGAGAGAAATGGAAATTTTCTATTTGTCTCTTAGGGAAGAGGTTGAAAGAGATCCAATTATATTGCATGGTGTAGTACTTCAAAAAGGCATCAAGTAGTACCATCCGGCTCACAATTCCAGGGATTTGTTTTTAACTGATAGTAATTGTCAGGCTTTGAGATTGTTCAGTTTTCGAGAAACACATTATTTACAACTGCAACCAAAAAATGGATAAAAATTTCAGGGAAAATGTATTAGAAAATGGAAGTTTTCAGTACACCTGTTTGAAAATTTTCAGATAATCATAAGGCATTCTCATATAGTAGAATTCCTGAAATGGAAGCATAGCTTTTAGTTTCTGTTCATCAGCTATGTATGTATATACATTGATCTGCTTATGCTGCTTAACAAGCTTGTTTCTTTCTGATGGATGAGATACTGCATACAAAACCAAATCGTTCATGGGTCTTTTCAAAGATGATTTGACACAATCTGTTTTATTGAACTTTCGGTTTCTAGTATATTTAGATCAAGAAATTACTTGATATAGTACCATTTTCCCCCAGCTGAAACAAGGTTAACGTTTTCATTAACTCCATTGCAGGGTTGGTTGGTGGATCTTCTCAACAAATTTGGCACTTTAAATGGATTCCAGATTTTGCATGATCGTTTTATTAATGGATCAGCATTAAACGTTCAAATAATTGCAGCCCTTATAAAGTAAGTCATATTTTTTAAAGTCAATGTTGAGTGCTCTATAAAAATTACTGTGTTATTGATTGATAAAAACTGAGTTTCTATTACGTGACTTCCTTTTATGTAACCTTGTATTTTCATTCAGGTGAAATAGAAAGAGTTTGAATGTTATAGATGTTTTGTCTATTCCTTATTTCAGACCATTTGGACAATGCTATGAGTTTCTCACTCTTCATACAGTGAAAAAGTTCTTTCTTCCAGTCATTGAAATGGTTCCACAGTTTTTAGAAAACTTAACTGATGAAGAACTGAAAAAAGAAGCTAAGAATGAAGCAAAAAATGATGCCCTTTCAATGATTATTAAGTCTTTGAAGAATTTAGCTTCAAGGGTTCCAGGACAAGAAGAAACTGTAAAAAATTTAGAAATATTTAGGTTAAAAATGATACTAAGGTAAGAAATTTATCTCTTGATACAATTGTTTGCATGAATTTTTGGAATCATACCTAACACCAAGTTTTTCATTATAGATTATTGCAAATTTCTTCTTTCAATGGAAAGATGAATGCACTGAATGAAGTCAATAAGGTTATATCTAGTGTATCATATTACACCCATCGGCATGGTAACCCTGAGGAGGAAGAGTGGCTCACAGCTGAGCGAATGGCAGTAAGTCCTTTGATTTTTCTCTTAAGAATAAGAATCTACTTGGAGTAAAAATCAAAATAGCTCTAGTGGAAATTAGTAGTATTAAAATAAAATAGACTTTAATAGGAATGCATTTTGGCTAATTTATGAATGTTTATTTCTGAGACTTATTTGTAATAATAAACTTTTACTAATTATTTGTTAGTGATATATGAGTAGTTTATAAACGAGTAACTGTGCCACTTAAGTTATGCAGCCAGATTTTTGAGAGCATACTACGTGGCAACACCTGTGGGAGAACTGTCTGTGTCCTTAGTTTAATGAAGATAATTATTAGGGCATGAGGAAAGTGTATTGTGGCACAGTAGCCAAAAGGTGGGAATAACCCCAAGTGTTCATCAACGGATCAGTGGATGAGTGAAATGTAGTATGTACATACAATGGAATAGTATTCAGCCATAGACCATATGTCCTCATACGTGCTCTTAAAACATGGGTGAACTTTGGTAAAAGTATGCTAAGTAGAATAAGTCACACCCAAAAGGATAGATTTTTGAATAGTTATATTTTGACAAAATATCTAAAATAGGCAAATGAGTAGAAACACATTTTTTATTAGTGATTACGAGGGAATGGGAAGTTACTGTGTGAGGTGTACTGAGTAAAAAAACCCCTTTTTAATAATATAGTTTGTGATGATAGTTGTACTAGATGGTTAAAAGGGCAGATGACTTTGTATTGTTCACCACAGGAAAACGAAAACAAATGTATATGGAGGATGCTTGGACATTAGTCCAGTGTTAGGGGTCAGTTGGTAGACATCTAATTTGTGCCTTTTGGAAAGCCTAGAAAGGAGCTAATTTTAGTGTGTGCTGAGGGGATAGGTGCTAGTCCGTGACCTGTTACCAATCCTGGATTGTTAACAGAAAATGACATTTAAGGATTTAGAAATTTTTGCAGCAAATGGCCTTTGCCACATCTTGATAGTATATTAGAAAAATGTGTGTGCACAGTGGATTAGAAATAAAACTGATTTTTCACCAGCTTAGTATTGTGCAGGTCTAACTCATTTTCATAATAAGTGAAATATTTTGAAACTCTAAGGTGTGGATTATTACTATTTTTTAAATCATTTTATTAGGGGCTCATACAACTCTTATAACAATCCATACATACCTCAATTGTGTAAAGCACATTGGTACATTCATTGCCTTCATCATTCTCAGAACATTTGCTCTCCACCTAAGCCCCTGGCATCAGCTCCTCATTCCCCCCCCCCCATGAGCCCTTGATAATTTACAAATTATTATTTTGTCTTACCTTTCCCTGTCCGACATGTCCCTTCACCCACTTTTCTGTTGTCCGTCCCCCAGGGAGGAGGTCACATGTAGATCCTTGTAATCGGTTCCCCCTTTCCAACCCACCCTCCCAGAATTGCCACTCACACCACTGGTCCTGAAGGGATTATCTGCCCTGGATTCCCTGCATTTCCAGTCCTATCTGTACCAGGGTACATCCTCTGGTCTAGCCAGACTTGCAGGGTAGAATTTGGATCATGATAGTGGGGGCGGGGGACAGGAGGATTATTACTATGTATGTATACTAACTTTCTTCTATTAAGTGGATACCAGCCAACCATCTTAATTTGTTGGTGGTAGGTGTTCTCCATCTCCTAGAGGCCTTTATGTACAACATAATGGAACACTACTCAATCATGGCTGTGCATAACATTGTAGAGATGCAGGCATGAGTCAGATCCCGGTTAAAACACTTTCAAATCCGTTCACTTTCCTGTAGTAGGATAGCATTTCTCAGGAAGAGTTTTTGGGGGGAAGTTTAAGAGGATCTATTGGATGAACAATGTCTGTCAGTTCAAAATGATAGTAAAACACAAAATAGAGACTTTTATACACAAGAGGAAAACAATTTTGTGACAAAACTGACGTGAAGAATTAAGATAGTAAAATTTTACCTGTATCCAGTAAGAGATTACCTGTACCCACACTACCTAAACCATTCTGGCTGCTCTACTAAAATGAGAGAGCCCTGGTGGCACAGTGATCCAAAGCACTATGTGTGCTACTCCGTTCAAATCCACTGCCCATCCTCACCCCTTGCTTCCTAGACTTTGGTTCAAAGAACCTGTTTTAAAGGGTGGGTGACACTTTATATTTTTGTAAAACAGCCTTCTCAGCCTGTGTTTTGAAACAATTTTCTGAATTATTTTTAGGAATGGATACAGCAGAATAGTATTTTATCTATAGTCCTGCGAGACAGTCTTCATCAACCACAGTATGTAGAAAAGCTGGAGAAGATTCTTCGTTTTGTTATCAAAGAAAAAGCTCTGACCTTACAAGATCTTGATAATATCTGGGCAGCACAGGTAAGAAATTGGAGAATAGTGACTTTAATCTCCAAAAAAGAGATACTGAAAGCTACGTATATAATGGCAATTGCGAAAGAGCATGAAGGTTTGTATTGTCTTGAGATTTACTGAATTTAAATGCTTTTGTCCATTGATTTGTTTAGTTATTAATTTAATGAGATGATAAACAAAAATCTGCAATGTCAGAAGTCAAATCACTTTTAAAAAACTACAGAAACCTGTATGGTAGATTTCATTACCTATGGTTAACTTGGGAAATAATTCTAGTGTACAAAGCTCTGGATTTTAGAGCTGATATCGGGCTCAAGTGGGAGGAGGCTTTGAAAATGATGAGGGCGGCATCTCTGCAAACGTGCTCGACACACTGGAGGAATGTGGGTTGTGATAAGAGATGTAAGAGCCCCCAATCAAAGTAAGAAAAACAATTCTACATATTTTGAGCAATCAGAAAAAAGCCCTGAATTTTTATTTTTGGGGTTTGTTTTTTTGATGTCTGTGGAAACCAAGAAAAGATTGGGTTTCACATTTGAGTATTTAAGGATTTGACCTTTTGGAACAATATCATTAGTACACCTTTCTTTTCCCCCTCTTTGCAGCATCGAAACGGACTTGTTAAATTGAATATTTTACTGTACCAAAAGTTCACATGAATTACTCAAGTACACATTTACAATTTATATATGGAAATTGAGTTGCCATTTTAGATCTCAGCATTTAATACAGTATATATTTTCTTACATTACACAGATGAAAAAGATGGGAATATTTCATCATTAGTTATTAGGCAGTGTACTAACCTGTTACTGTTATTCTAGATGCCTTGACTGTCTTAGATTTTGTTTATTTTCTCAACAGGCAGGGAAACATGAAGCTATTGTGAAGAATGTGCATGATCTACTAGCAAAGTTGGCATGGGACTTTTCTCCTGAACAACTTGATCATCTTTTTGATTGCTTTAAGGTAATAGTCTAATAAAAGTATTTGCATTTCATTTGCAATCGAATTAATTAATTCCGTAAGTGTCTCTTAATTAACACATGAATGGTGATCTTATTGAACACTCTTGTGAAGGATTTGTAACATATCCCCACCAACCCATACAATTCCGTCTCCATAGTTTCTTCTTATGCTTTATAAGGTCATGTTGTAGATAATAATCTCGATCCAGTTGTTATAGTGGGTTTGCAAAAGCCCAAGTGGTTGGTAAATTTTTATCTCAAGAACATGGGATCATGTGGTAGCATTCTGTTAATGTCTAGCATTAGTTCACCAAGGTTTCCTGTGTAAAATAGCAATTATTCTGACTGCTGGTGGGAACAGAAGTTGCTATAATCACTGTGTAAGAACCCATTGAAAGTGGACCATGTCATATTTAAAGTGCTATTTTAGTGTTTCCCAGTGAGTATACCATGTCCTTTTCAAATAAAACCATATTGTTGCATTATTTTTTTGGCCAATAGCAGTCTCATCACTGACATTTTCTGCGTCGGTGTATGTGTGCTTTTGTTTTTCAATGTGTAATGCACAGTGCTCTATTTTATTGGGCTTTCCCCTTTTAATGAAATTTACACTGAATTATTTAATATATTTTTTAGAAATGCTTGCTTTATGGTGCTTAGGGTGAATGTTATGATAGTGGTTATGAGTTAGGCTGCTGGCTACACAAGGTCAGCATCTGGAAGCCACCAGCTGCTCCTTCACAGAAAGATGAGACTTTCTACTTCCATAAAGAGTTAAGTTTCAGAAACCCATAGTAGCAATTAATTCTACCATAACCCTGAACCATTGCTGTGAAACAGAATTGACTTGATGACAGTGAGTTTTTGAGATTGAATATTAATATAGCAAATAAGGTATCCCTAAAACAATATGTACAAAAATTATTCAGGGATACTGGTTTCCATTTGTCACAATATGCCATCATGCGTTTTCATTTAGTTTGTGTCCCTTTTCCAATATTTTCATTTCCCTGACCCCTTTGCTGTGTTTCCCAAAGTGGGTGATACCCACTTGATCCCATGGGGGATGCTGGAATGCTCCAAGTGACTGTAAAACAGATATCTATACTTTATCCTGAGTTATGGGCTATAGTACAAAAGTTTTTTTTTTGTT